TTTGCTTAGCTCCTTTTTCCGCGCCATGAAGTGGAAATATTTTTCTAAGTTGGTGCTTATCTACCACATCACATTTTGGACAGCACCAATCACACCGCTGAAATTAAATAAGCTTAAAAACTGTGGAATAAGAACAAGAATTATTTCAGGATATGGTTTGTATTCTAGTATATTACTTTGAGTATCTTGCCAGCCTCCTCTAGTTGTTAAACATAAATGCTGAAATACTCTTCATTAATATAACCCATAAGAAGAATCCCTTATTTCATGACCTATGTCCAATGACCTGGAAGCAGTGGGGATTTGCTGCCAAAGAATAGCTGGGGCCTGGTGGAACAGTTCACACTAGAGAAAGCTGGAGAGAAGAGCGTTTTTTTTCCAAACTGCTGATAAAATGAGATTTTTGATTACAATGCGAGAAGCTGTCTGTACCAGCTGTACCAACCTATGTTCCAGTGTCACCAAGTGACATATGCTCAATGCAGCCTTTGTCAAACCACTTCCTCTGCTAAGAGTTATTGTGTCAGTCTTTAAAATGGCTTGCTCTTCCACCACCTTTTCTGATGGAAATGTGAAAAGTACAAGTTACTTCCTTTCACAGAACATCTTGTCAAGGTTCTTCACTCCAAGCTGACAGCCTCATGGGGAAACCTGCTTTCTAGAAGCTTAACAAACGGTGACTGTTTTATCATAATTCTGCCTTGCTGAAATAAGGAGGTCAAAGAGAGAGGCAACAATCATTACAGAAAGTGTTAAAAGGTGACTGCTTGGTTCAACAGCAGCTTAAAAAATGCTAAAAGTCTGAACGCTACTCCAAGCAGTTAGAACCTAGCAAATTATTTTTTTTTTAGCTGAAATTATGCCATCAGGTGATGGTGACTGGAACAGACTCTGCTGTGACAAAAGCAAAGCCACTACCCTTTCTGTTACCAGAACAAACAGACAAAGAGCAAGCTTCACATGAAGACTGATCAAAACCACATGATTAATGCCAAAACCATACCCAACGTGCAGCTTCCTGCTTCAAACATGCAGAGAACGCCAGCAACCAAACCCACCTACAGGTACCAACTGCACATCGGCGCTTTACCTTATCTTAATCAAGTCACTAATTATCCTACACCAATCCTGACGAGCATCACAGGATTTCAGTTCTTCACAGGAGTGTAATTCACTGTTTTCTTTCAAACATTTATGTCTGTCTGCACTTGTCTAAGTATATTATAGCCACTAAATCACACAATCCATCATCTCTTTGTCACTACTCTAGACAGAGAAGATCCTCTGAGAATATGCTTACAACTTAACGGTGACTTTGAAAGTTGACTAAAGATACGAATGAAAAATAAAACATTTAGTTAATCCCTTTGACGACATGAGGTTGCTATTACCCTTTACTGTTTGAAAAAGTTTTTCAACTGCTTTTCAGCACTACCATGACACCACACAGGGAGTTTAATGGCACCTCCACAGCATATACAGAATCAAGGCCAAAATTCAGCTTACTACTTCAGCTTTGAGAGAGCTAGTACTGCAGTCAGAGATTAAGGAACATTATGTACCTGGTAAACTGACCTTTTTCCAAACGATGCTGTCATAGGATGGAATGTGCAGTGGGCATATTTTAGCCAATACAAGCTAGCAAAGTGCCACAAGCTGTTGAATTTCCTGTTAAGGATTAAGAGCCTCTCCAAACACATTTTTCTGACACAATATATGACCATCTTTTTGTCAGCACAAGTATTCCTTGAGAAACGAGGGCTGAAAAATCACCTAGCATCATTGCTCATGAAAAGTAAGGAAATTAAAGGAAATGAAAGAACCTACTAAGTAAGAACAGCTGATCTGAGGCCTGCTGGCCAACAGGCTTCTACAGCAGGCTGCAATTCCAGTTTTATGCCTGGGGCTTAAGCACCATGTAAAATAGAAGCGTGAAAATGTAAAAGTATGCAAGACAGACATCTCATCTTAAGACACAGTCATCTCTCATGGGTGTCACCCCTACATACCGATTAATCACTGAAGTTAGACTATCCTAAAAGAAGGTTAAAAATGGGGTGGAAATTTTGGTGAATATGCTTGAAATGGTGTAATTTACATAGGAAAGACGACGGCTTTGACGTACTTCGTAGTTGTGTCATAACTGCAACGTCACAGAAGCTGAACGGAAAACTCTGAAGACGACTGTTGCGCACCGTTATGGCTTATACCAGCCCTCAGTGGAAACCTCAAGCTTTATTAACATGGCTACAAGTGGGTGAATTGCCAAGACTTAGCGAGTTACCAGTTTCTGGCTGAGATAACAGTCACTGACTAAATACGATGTCCTAGTCACTGCAAACACAAAATAAAAGACATTAGCATAAACCACTCAGTGAAGCATACCTTGCTAAGCCCCTGAAACTTGGCACTTGCGACTGCGTGAGCATACCCTCTCTGTCTTAGCTAGTATAGACAATGTTAGACTTGTAAACAAAGTAAAATCAATATTTCCAATCAGCCAGCAAAAGCAATGGGCACAGGGAGGCAATTATTATTTTTAGAGCTCAAAATCTGTCTACCATATAGATGCACAGTTCCTAGTTTATGAAAGTCTGCATCTTCCATCTTCCAGTACCTGAAAATAAACTTACTGATTGGAGATGAAAATACCAATTGTAAGCTGCTAATATATGTGACTGTAAGCTGCTAATACAAACTTTCCGCAGTACCGGAAGTGAGGTTATCTAAACAACGTACCTGATTTTCTATCCAGTCATTCAACTATACTACTGTGTCTCAGAGTAAAAGTTAAAGTTGTCTCTGTCTATCAAATACTATCAGTTAATTTTTAAATTTTTCTTTTAGTTGAATGATCCAGGGAAATGCAAGAGCTCAATTTTGCATAAGGTTTAAGATAGCTACAGGGAAAATGGCCGCACTCACATCTCCGCTTGGTGAAAAATAAGATATAGGACCTGGGGATACACTCTGAAAGAAAAAAAAGCAGTTGAAGAAGTAAATAGTGAAGTTGTTAAAGGGAAAAGATCAAAGTTTCATCGCAAAAAAAGGATTTTCATTTGTGTTCGCAGCTTGTTTGCTTTAGTGCACAGTAATGCTACTTGACCTGTTAACCAGATTATGCCAGTTCTTATAACACCTAGAATCAAATGCAAAAGGAAAAATGTTTGAAGTAGGTGACATCCAAATAATTCTCAGATCACATATCTAAATGAAACTGGAAATAAAAATAAAATAGGACAATCTTTTTCAATAGGCAAATCCACAAACTCTCTTCACAGTGTATGTAAAACTAGTACAATCAAGAATCAAAAGTAATTGCTACTGAGATTCTAACAACAGTAATAATGGTATTTTTAATTTATGGTCTAAATATAGTATGGGTATATGCTGCAAACAAACAAACCAAAACCTTATCTTATTATTTACATCTGCATGCACTTAGCTCCATCACTAGTCATCGAAACTAACGACATTTTAACTGAATAACCTTCTAAGATCATAAGTAAAATTCTAAATGAATAATTCTTTGACTGCTTTTTTTTCCCCCCTATTAATGACTAGAGTCTGATTTTGCTTACATTGTCAACTATATGGCCTTTAAATATTTACTGTGGACAAGATCAAAGTCAGCTGATTAGCCAGCCAGACACTGTGTCACGCCTCAGCAAAGAACAAGACAGCAAACATAATACGGTTAATTTAAAACAAAGAACAACAGTTAAGGCGAGGTGATGAATTACAAAACTTTTTATCTTAATTTTGGATGCACAAGAGAGGCTGCCAGAGCAGTTTAATACTCTGCAGTTAAAAAGTTATTATGTTTTTTTATTGCAGATACAAAACAACAGTCCTCAAAAAACTGAATATAGGTCTGCAGAAATTCTCATCCACTTAGTTTTTCCTATATACAGCAACTAAGCACAACTTTACTTCAGTCCTTGAAACTTCACTGCTACCCTCAGAATGCCCAGAGCTGTCCCCGTGAGAGCTGCCTGAGGGTCCCCAGGCTACACTGCTCAGCACACAGAAATACAAAACGCCAGCAAGAAACCACAACACGTTAACAAGAAGGCTAGATGCAGCTGCAAAATGGACTGTGAGGGAGGGGTGGTCAAAGGAGAAAGAGAGCTACATCCGTGAACATGTCTGCAGCACAGAGCACTAATGGAGGAAGGGTGTTACAGCCTACTTAAATCCATGAACAAATCTGCCTTCCGAACAGTGTATTACTGCACAAAGATCAGGCCACTTCTGAGACACAAAGTTTTTGTGATCACACTCGCATCTGTCATCCTTTTCAGCTCAAACTCTGTAAAGGAAGAACAGCCTACAAGAGCCATTGCTGTGGACTGGTAACACAGAAATTTTTAGAAGAAATATTTCAATTCAGTGAACCATTAAAGACATTCTTTCCTAAACAAATACCTAGCATTTATGCACAGCATTTTGAATGAAAATGGAGAAGCCCCACCATGAGCTCTACTTTCATCCCCCAGCACCATTGAAGAAAGCACTAGTACCCATATGTGAATTATCAAGGTGATAAACTTTTGTAAACCAGTCCATGTCATTCAGGGTTTGAATTCCGGACATCTTCTTTCAAAACATAACAACCCACAAGCAAAAACACTCTTAAATCCCTATTTCAATCTATAAAACCTTACTGCATATACTTAAAAAATTAGTACTTCTCAGAGGCTTATCAACTCTTGCTCTTTTACACCTCTCACATTACCTAACAACCCTTAGAAAATGAACAACAAATGAGGGCAACGTCACACAATTTTCATGCTTTCCAAACATGTCTAACCATACTTATTTACCTGTTAGCAAAATTCCTGAATAGAAATTTGTAGGTTTGCATGTTTGCCCCGAATACCAAGCTGCTGCATATATTATGAAAAAAGGGTATAACTGGTAACACTTTCAAACTCACCACAAGATCAAAAAAGAAAAAAACCACCCTACAGGACACAGCAGTGACATGAAATACTTACTATTTATATGTTTCTGAACGAATATATTCAAAAACATGAGATACTCCCAGCTGGAACTGGTCAGCAATAGGGGTAACCCAAGGATTGTTCTCCGCTTTGAAGACTTGCTTTTGACCAGTCAAATCCAAATTACCTGAAAGGGATTAAACAAAAAGATTTATGAAAAAAATTGTCTTGTCTTAAGGAAATATCTTCCAGTGAATAACAAACCTTTCAATCCCTGAAAAGAGTAAAACCATTATCAAAGCAAATATTTTAAGCTTAATGGAGAAGAAAAGGAGGACATAGTAGTTCCCACCGTGATGGATAGAGAGCTAAGTTCCACTCTATTCGTTTCACTGGTAGTACATACTGCACAGCAGGATTGAATTCGGCCTGCTGCATATAGTATTTATTCATCCAATTAGTTCTAAGCAGGGCTTAGTAGCGCGTAGGTGTTGGGCTGTCCATCTGCATGGGAGTAAATTTACTCAGCACCGACAGAACAACGGAAATAGAACTTAGGGCTTCTTGACCATTCTTAAACATGCCAGTTTTATCTGTTCTGGTGACAGGAAGACTTAAGAGATGTATGAAGAGCTTTTTTTTTTTTTTTTTTTAAAAAAAAGCTTACCACCCAAAAATAAAGCAGTACAAGTTCTGCTGAAATTCATTCTGTCTATGGATAGAACAGGCTAAATTCCAGGAAGGTCTAGCCATTCAAATGTCCTCGATATTTAAATTACCCAATTTCTCTAATTCAAAATAAGACAGCTATCATTTAAACGCTATCGTTTTAAATTTATTTTTGTGAATTTTATGATGTAGAGAGCCCCAAACATCCCTCCTCAACAAGCAACAAATATTAAAAAATTCTCACAGATAAACACGGGAAACAAAACAAAACAAAAAAGGTTTTGAAGCCTGACCAGTCAAGCTGGTAGAGAAGTCTTAAATCAATCTGATGTGCTTGTTTTTCAAAAAAAAGGCATTTGTGTAAGTAGCATAAACACACACACATGCTTCTGCAAGCCCTTTGCTTTGTGGCCATTTGTGTTACATTTCCTCAAGCTCTGCACTACAGTTAACCCTTAATGTGTTTTGCTCTATAAAAAGGGTTAACACAATTAGAGTAAAGCAAGACCATTATATTGTGTGAAAAGGTGTCATGCATCACATATTGGCCTATCAACAAGTTACCATTACCTTAGCAAGCTCATCTGTCAACTGTCTGAGGCCTGTTATTTTTAAATAACAACATGCAGGAAGCATTTCACCCCTCTGCCAGTCAGGCGGCAATTGCCCTAACTGCCTTACGCTCCAGTGCCTCTCGTCTCGTTAGGAGCCTCACACCCAGCTCCTTTATTAAAGGACTCCGCAGCCCTGGTGTTCTAACAAGGATCAGGAAGCAGGATTAAGTACTGTGACAAAAAGGACCTAATAAGCTAGAAACTGGTGTGTCTAAATCTACCCTGGCTGGCTCAAGACACAGACTCGCACTGTTCACTATTCAGTTTTAAGGCACAGGCCGCGAGGGAAGCGAGCTAGCTTTGTGATTAGCAGTAGCCCTCTGACCGATGCTGCTATGAAGATCATGTATCACTCAGAGCCTTAATTTGCAATTGCAAATTGGATTTTCCATTTTATTGCCTGCCAAAGAACCACATACATTTCTTTCCAAAGCTACCAACACTGTATGCATTCACTTATAATTATAGCTCTGTAAGCATAGCACCAAGATACAATGATCAATCTGTGTACAACTAATACAAATAGTTAAATCCAGGCAGACAAACTTAGCTCCCCTCAAGGGTCACATTCAATGTCACTTACAGAAATAAGTTACACGTTCGCAGAGTCTCAATATAAAGGTTCTCAGCTGAATTCTCTAGCCCTGAGTTGGTTCAGAAACTTGCAGTCCAGGGAACGTTGCCTTCTGTTTCACATCTCCACAACGTAGTGTGCCCACTTCCTATTCTAAACATCACACGGTTTACTTAAGTTTAAGTAATTGAAAGAAATACTATTCTACTGAAGCCAGAGAAATCTTACAGCAGAAAGAGCAAAATGAACTGTAGAACTCCACGCCAAAGTAATCACTTCGTTTTTCTCTGCCTTGTGCTTTTCCCCCAAAGAGCTGGGGGCAGGTAGAGATATTTCTTTTTACCTGACAAGCAGAGGGGCAAGAAGAGGTCACAAGAGTAAAATTAATCTCATTAAGGAGAAAATCGGGCTGCCCAAAAATCCACAATCCAAGCGTAACTCCAGCGCCTCTCTGCTCGCGAATCACCTTTGCAAGCCTTCTTGGCAGCAGCTGGTCTGGGAGCACTTTTCAAAGCTGCCTACAGCTGGCAGTTGGAGTGAGAGGTCAGCTGCCACCTCACAGATTGGGTTTTTTATTGAAGAATTTAATAAAGTGTTGTAGCGCGAAAAATAGCAACCCTTCTGTCTTCATGGCAAGCAGTAGCCAGAGAACAGGTGCTCTTCAACAGAGGGAGTCAAGGAGGTCTGTCTCCATGAAAAGAGAAAGGACAGGGCACTGATCTTTCCCAGCTGGAAATCCCAGCAGGCAATGAAGGAAGGGAACAGGCAGAAAATTAAGCATGGTAAGAAGCTGCAGAGAGCCTGCCCCACCTCATCAGTGTCAGGAAAAGACGACAGTCTCACACTGCTGTCACAAGGCAAGCAAGTTGTGAACGAAGAAGCCTTATAACTAAACACCAAAACAGGATGAAAACCTGTCACTCGTGTATATCAGAACGCATTGCTCAGGGTCACATCCTGGGCCCTTCCTATGTCTACAGCAAAAATATCTGTGAATCGAGGTCTTGCCTAATTCTGCTCAGACTGCAGGACATCCAGGAATCCCAAGCACAAGGTGAGGTTCTCAGTGGCACCCATGGGACAGTCCATATCCGAGTAATTAAACTCGTGGGAACAGCACGAGCTCTTCTGCCCCAGTGCACCAACACGAACCCAAAGCAGGGGAGCAGACATTCACACCAGCCTGAAACTATGGCTCTGTTACTGGGCTTACTCGGGGAGGGCACTCTAGCTGGACACTTACAGATGCATCCCCCCTGAACAGTCCTCCTCCAGGAGGTTTTTCACAGCAGCACTGTGCCAAGAAATACTGTTATTCTGCCCCTGCAGCACTACAGCCATGGGCCAAGGAAAGGGACATGGCAGATGAGCCTTTATGCATATTGTCTAGCAGCAGTATCAGCAGAACACTATTCCCAGGCCTTTAGAGAATTTATATAGTGTTCTGCTACACAGATCACATCAAATCCCTCTGATATTTTTAGCAAGCAAAATACAAACTTGCCTCTAGTAAAAATCCAGTACTGAAGATTCAGTCACAAAACATTAGGGTTGGAGATTGCATTGACCATTGCTGGTTTGTTCTTTCCACGCACATCACCCCTATTAAAAAATATCGGTTTATTATCGATAACATTTGTTGTATCTGGTAGACTACAATTATGTTTCTCTATAATGGACTTAATGTTCTTCCTATTTTGGCAATATGAAACAGATCAACTCCACTGAAATCCACTCCAGTCCTATACACGTGTCTGGTAAGAGAGGGAGGGAAGTCTATGTTTTAAGTCTAATCAGCACAGCCCCTTTCCTGGATCCCTGAAATATTTTTCAGATGACTTCTGAGAGCTTCTAAAATTCCTCCTAAAAATAAATAAATAATCACAATTATATATCCCAGCAGTCAGTCCTGAAGAGCTTAAAGAACTAATTGCTAAGAGCCTAAGAGATAACTTTTTACTGCTTTTTATCTTGAACAGACATAGACTTATAAGGAAGATGAACACAAAATGGATACAGGCTGCTATCAGACTGAACAGCAGCATTCTAAGTGTGAAAGACGGCGTCTGGAAAAGAGAACAACAGAGGTAAAGAAATGTCCAGTAGCTGACTGCTATGGAAGACCTGCACAGAACGGCCAAATAATTAACGTTCCTTACTGACAGGTGTTAAATGTGTGTTTCCTGTCTCAGCACTTAGGGTATCTAAAGATGATCTTGAGCCATCAGGTTTGACTGGACGAGTGTGACTGTGTTCAACTATCTGAAAAGTAAATTGTTCCTATGCCCAACTAGTAAGTTGTACAGACCTGAAGACTATCTGCTGCATAAATCTATTGTTAGCTGCCACCTGAAAGCTACAGTGAGTACACCTACACGAAAAAAACACTTGAAAATTCAAGAACAAAATCAAATAATACATATTTTTAATTTGGTTCTATATGAGCTTTTTTCCTCACATTGACTAAAAATATCATTTATCTCTGCTTGTTTTCAGGGATCCCACAGCGATGGGTGAACAAAAGGGACATTGCCTCATATGACAGTGAGCACACATCATCCTGAGTGATACTACAGGGGAAAGGGAGCTACAGTCATCTCTGCATCTCCCTCAGTCAATCTATCCCACATTCATTCTAAAATATATTAGTTAACATTTCTTGTTATTTTCCTTCGGTGCTGTTGAAACAAAAGTGGTTTGTATGAACATTCATATTTTGCTCAACTGCTTGCAAAGGTCAGAATAGCTCCTAAAAGCAAGTAAAATGCTGCTACCCACAGTCAAAACGGTCTTGTTTGCAGAAACTAAGTGCCACAGCTAGTGATACTGCTACCTCTGACCAAGGGTGTCTCCGGATTTCCCAGGCTCCTCCTGTCTATTAGGTCTAGACTTCAAGTACCTCTTGCATGCAACTGTTAAGCCCCTCATCCTCTTGTGACATATGGTGGACCTAATGTATAATACATACCCAACCTACATGTACCTAATGTACAATAAGGCACAAGCAGTATACTTAGGCATTACTTCAACACAAATAGAAGTTAACAGAATAAACGCAAAACTGGCTTGCTCTTTCCACTCTAACATCCCTTGGCAACACTTTAAACGCTTTCAAAAATTAAAAGGTGAAATAAGGTAATTAAGCAATTCTGACATTTGAGAAGTAAGCATTGGCATTCAGCATAAGAAACATGATCCTGGCTGTGAAATGCCAGATCAACGCTTCTTTGTAATGCTTTAAATTCATCCCTAGTGGAGCATCACTAAAATCAATGGAGTTCCAGCTGAAATAATTTTTGGCCCATATACCATTAAGTTTCACATCTATTT